AACTGAGTCAGATCAAAGTTCTGTACCTGTTGTCAGCAATAGCCATGAATAGATGGCCAGAGTAATCAGCAGGCCTTGACACTCTTCCAGTCTTTAATATTTCTCGGTTCTGAAACCAACTGTGTCTTTACAGATACAGTAACCCTTGGGGACTATTTTGTATGAACTTACTGTGTCTCCTTTGGAGCCCGTGTGAGCTTTTTGGCAGTCTGTTAGTGGTTCCGTGGGATTAGCACTTCGTGTGAAGAATGACTTCTTCTGGTTTGCATTTGCCTCAATTGGAAGAGTGTGAATAGGTGCCTACCCACTGTCTTCGTGTTACTAATGTTATGGACAGCTGTCAATCATCCCTGCTCTTCTACCCTGAGGACTGCTGGTCTCCCCCACATAGCAGTGATTATGTACCTTTGCTCCTCCTTCTTCTCTCAACCTTTTCCAGCTCTGCTATGTCCCTTTTTGGGCTGAGCAGATCAGAACTGAACAGCAGTAGTCAAGATGCAGGCAAACTGTATTTTTAGTTTGACATAGTGGTCCCTTTTCCTTTCCTGATAGTTCTTAACATTTCATATGCCTTTTGACTGCTGCTGTTTTCATAACCCCAACATCTTGCTCCTGATAAATGAGCTTAAAGCACATATTTTTATATGTGAAAGCAGGATTGTTTTTCCTACTTGGCTCACTTTAAATGGCAGACACATTCAATAATATTACTGCTTGAAATCATTTAGCATTTCTTTCCTCTTTTTAATTTTTTTTTTCTCTTATCATGTAACTACACAGCAGAATTTTTGTCATCATCAAACTTTGTCCCCTTACCACTTAATCTCTTTTCCATGTGTGGGATTGTGGTTTTTTTTTTTTAATATGTTGGATGGCACAGGTCTCAATGCCTCTCCCTGCACAACTGCCCCTGGGCAACCTCTCTTCAGTGGAAAAAGCTGATTTATTCTTCCCGTTTATTCCTACCTGCTGTCTCAGTTCTTTTAAATCGATCATTTATTCACAGACTTTCATGTCATATCAAACAGATCCTTGTTATCCACATGCTTGTTGTCCCTATGGAAGGGGACCTCTAGCTTTGAGCTCCGTGAGAGATTTAACCCTCTCTTGGCTTGCAGTGATGGGGGCATAACTTTGCTGGTTCTTCAGCTACTTTGTGGGTACAACATATGCAGTTTAAAAAGACTTCTGACTGTACAGAGATTCAAATTAATAGCCTAATTTCTTTGTTTCAGATTGGAAGTACAGTTCTGGCTTCATCACTGCAGACATGATTAAAACCCACCTCCCATCCCCCGGCAGCGAGACACTCGTTCTCATGTGCGGGCCACCACCTATGATTCAGTTTGCATGTCAGCCCAACCTGGACAAACTTGGCTATCCCAAGACCAGTACATTTTCTTATTAACCTAAGTAAGTAAGTACTGCATATTTTCCTACAGGAACAACTGGTATGTAACTGTGCAGGATTTCTTTCCTTTTTTTGGGGTGTGTTTCTGGTTTTTTAACTGTTTAATGTAATTTCTGTGGTTTATAACTTCATAATTACTTGTGTATGTTTTAATACTAAAAAGAGAGATCATCTTGAATTGTGTGGAAGTAACTTAGTCTAACCTATTAAGGTAGTATGAAATGTTAATTCTGAGAGGATAAAATAAGGTGTAATCGGAGAGGTAGAGCAGAGATAAAAACCACTTGTTAACATCGGTGTGGAAGTTGGGAGAGGAGTATAAAACTGGACTAGGATTATCTGACTGTGCTCTACAGGTAATTCATTTAGTGACTCCTGGGAAAAGAGAATACAAAGAACAGGGGGGTTTTTTGTTGTTGTTGTTTTTGGGTTTTTTTCTTTTTTAAATGCTGTTTTACAGCCCTTCACCAGGGACTAAGAAAGAAGGCACAGTATGCTATTGGAAAAGGGAACAGAATTTGGGTAACATGCAAATTGCTTATTATTGTAACAGAAATTCTCATTAGTGTGAAATTTATTTGGACGGATTACTTAACTTCATGCTGTCTTCTATCATCAGCTTTAGCTGAACAATCACTTCCAACTATATATGGAAGTTCTGGGCTGCATATACAGACATAACTATCCAGTGATGTCACATCATTTGACTGTCATTCTCTAAGTGTAGTGCCTGCTCTTTTGGCAATTTCAGAAATTTCATTTGCTTATGAGAAAACAAGGCTTATTAATTCCTATTGTAAGCTATGCTGAGTTGATCTTATACTCGGCTAATGCCTCATCTTAGTATTTCTACCATGTGGCATTTAATCCTTACTCTTCAGTGCCTGAAGTACTGCATGTTCATTTCCAGGAATTAGTTTATACATTTGTTTGAGAGTCTGACAAATCCCTGAGCCAGAAGACTTGTTTCTTCAGATGCTAATGAATATGTTTACTGAATATTTTTACTCATCTGAAGCAAAACAAAAGGAATCTACTAGTTAAAAATTGCCATAGGGGTTTTGTACTTCATCAGTTACACTAGTAGCAATAATGCAGAGACAGACACAGGGATTCAGAACTATGATCAACCACTTGTATTTGTGTTAGAATCATTCCACAGTCAGCAAGAGATGGAGGAACATTCAGAATTTATTCATAGCATTCAGAATTTATTCATAGCAGTCAAAAAATAAGCATTTATGCCAGTGTTATGCTAATTAGGATTTCTTACTATATATATTAAAAAAATCAGTAATTTTGTAGATTGACTATTCACAGCCAAGTTAGCACAACACACTGAGTTATAAACACATCATCAAAGGAAATCTAAAAATCTGCTTGGAATAGCCCAATAATATTAAGGCTGCCTCTGTTGGAGCAGATTATCCTATTTGTAGTGCTGTAATAAGTCTGCTGGCTAATTAACCTGGAAAAGTATTTCAAATGCCCATAGTACATGATCTGGTTATGCATTGCCAGATCAGAGATGTGCTTGACTGGTACATTTAATACCTTTTATTAAGCATTTTTAGTTTGCTGATGTGTACACCGACTTCCCATTCCTTTGGATTTTCCATTATCATTTCATTGTTCAGTGACTGAAAAAAAATTGCCTTGGTTTTACCATTTTGGACAATAAAATCATGTGTTTAGCTTCTAAAATCTGACCATACAGTGCAGGCTTTGTCATGAGAGAGGCTCATGGAGTGAGGAGTACAATAGGTCACCTTTAAAAAGTGCCACCACTAGCTCTCAAAGAGGCCTTGCTGCATACTCCTGACAGTACCGGAGATTTCCCCTTTATTTGGGAGGGTTGTGGCAGGGACTGACCTGCTCTCAGGCTATATTATTATGTAAACCAACACCCTGCAGCCAGCAAGGAGAGTGATGCAAACCATCCGCGTATATACTAAGACTTTTTCTTTACAACTCAGCAGATTTCTTTTCTGGCAGTTCCCTATTTACTAAGTTATCTTGTTAATACCTTATTAATACACAAGAGACACATTGTCAAAAGATGCCGCAAGTAATTGCTGCTGTAAAGGGTTAGGCTTTCACCTTTGAACAGCCCCTCAAGTAGTGAGAGGCTGTATTTCCTCCTGTCACAGTGCTGCAGTCCTGCTTAGCTCAGTAGAATAGCAACAGATCTATTTTGTCAGGTGTTTTAAAGAAACAAAAATGTGTTTTATTATGGTACTTGCCTGAGGCTCCTTAGTCACGTTTTACATATCAGAGCAGTAATGTTTGTCTGCTATTCCTAAATAAAGTATTTTAGGAAAACCTATCTGTAGCTGGAATGAAAAGGAAGAATGAAAAGTCAACAGCAATATTGTTTACATCACCAGTTATCATACAGATGTTACAAAAGAGTTTCTACTGCAATCTCCAGTACTCAGGGCTGTTTGCAGCCATATGCTTAATTAGGTGCAACTATGGAAAGAAAATAGGCTTATTACCATCCCTGTCTTCCTGAGAGCCTGTACTATGTTTCAGGCCAACCAAGTACAGGAGTCACAAAACTGAAGCATTTTGACTGTTCAGAAGGTTTATGAGCATCCTGATGCTGCATGTATGTGGCAGCACTGGCCCCTTTAGACAAAATGTCAGTGTATAGAAAGAGTTCAATAGATCTAGTTAAAGAACTATCAATTAAAACCAAACAATGGATCATGCTGGAAATTCTGTTGCACTTACCCTACAGAGTGTGGCAAACACCATTGTTAAAGTTACATTTTACATTACTTAAATGTTGTGATTACTGCTTGATCATGACCATCTTAGTGCGTAGTTAAAAAAAAAATCACATGATAAAAAAAAGTCACTTCAAATGAAGCACCAGCTTTTAAGTCCATCAGTTTTTCTGGTAGTCTCAGAATTACATTTCCTGCTGCAGTTCAGTGTCTTTTTGTGTTAAAGATTTGTGAGCACGCCATCTCGATTGTCATCCTCCTGATAAAAGCAAGGGCTTGATGGATAGCATTATGTTCCATTCTTCCCACTCTACACTGCACTTAGAGAGGGCAGGACATGTGCCAATGGAAGGGATGAGAGATTAAAAACCTTTTATGGGGAACAATCTCTGGCAAGAGTGCAGTAGTTAGTGAGTCATTACCGCCGCACTCGCCAGCATCCATCTGAATTTCTAGGTGGCTCTGATTAGTCCATATGGTACTACGGAGTATTAATGATTCCTGCATTACAAGTTAACTATAAAAATAAAAAAATTACAAAAGATCTTTCATATAACAGTACATTAACATACCATGTAAAAGACAACTGAATAAAAAGGGTAAAATACGTTGCCAGTCTTGGCTTCCCAGACTCTGGATACGAGTACCGCTTCTCTCTCAACACCTATTTCACATTATGTAACATGGAAACTAGCACGGAGGAGAGTTACCTGTAATGCATTGCTACACTGACAATATTAAATGCTACGTGGTAAGTCTCATTGGCAGAAAAGAGGTAACCACAGTGTCAGTCTTCTCCTGGCCACCCCTCTGGACAGGCATGAGGTATTATTAGTGGTCTTGGTCACGTTGAAACATCAGCTCCAGTCTTCAAAGGTAGGTGTTAAAAATCTGCTGTCATTCAGCATTTCATCTTGGCTTAACATCGTCTGAAAAAACAAGATGTGAACCAGTAAGTGTGTTCAGCTAGAGGGCTATAGTTAAAGAAATCCAACTGTAATGAGATTAGATTCACAACAGAGGGGGACAGAGCCACACAAACATTGAAAAGAATTTATTGAATGCAGCTTTAAATAAATTATTATTTGCTTGAGAAAATTCTCACAGAGATTTTTTTGTGTGGCATGTGACTTATGTTATGCAATTCTTCATTATATCTTTCTGTCAATAATTTTTTTTTTTTTTTTTAAATTAGCTGCTATGGAGTCAGGAATTAATACAGTGGGGTTTTTTTGTTTCTTTGTTTTCCATGGAGTTTCATGTAAATTTTCAAGTCTGTACCTCTTTGCTAGACTTTGCTGCGACTGAGGCATTCAATGGCAGTTACTTGCAAAAATCTTTGAGGAACTGTTTTCATAAATGAAAGGGGGTAGATGTCTGTCATTGGGTCAGAGAGATAGCAGAGTTCATGAAAACTTAAAAAAGGCCTAAATGGAACTTGATTTCTAATGCAATTCAAAATCAGTGGTTTTTTGGACTGTGAAAGCACAACCAGGCTACAAAGAGGTATTTAACAAGAATAGTGACCTACTTAACTACCACCAGCCATGACCAACTTTTACTGAATTCTAGCAGAATACATTTGTGACTTTAAAACAAGAGTGAAATTAGTACATACCGTCAAGTGGCTTATACCTTGAGACAGAGCCCCTATTTGCATTACTGTTCCTTCTGAGTGTTCCATCTGTAAAGGTATTCAGGAACTAGATCAAAACAGACAGTATCTGCAATTTTGTTCACTCTACATGTAATCATTGAGGCATCTGTGCCTGGACAAATGAAATTGTGGTATGTTTAAAAGCTCTGATTTCTGCACATGAACAAAAAAAATGTATCCATGCTATAAAGTACATGAAAACACATTTAAGGATAGGCAGTGAATCCTGATTATGAAAGACTGATTCCATGAAACTTGAGCTGTAATTCACACAAGAAGGGAAAAAAGCTAACTGCTATTATCAGTGAAGAGTAAGATTTTCCTGATGGGCTTATTAGACTTCTGGTAGTCTTCTTCCACAGGCAAGCATGGCCACATGCTCAGAGTCATGCTTTACTGAAAGACCATGCTCCCAGACAGAAATCCAGTCTTTTTGTAACGCTTGACCAACCGCATAGTGTAAGCTGTTGGCTCAAAGTTAATGCACTCACTTGCAACTCGTAACTGTGCAAGTAGACATCCATCCTGAGTTATATCAGAATTTGGTGGTGTCCCTACTTAGGAATAGTACTTTGCTATGGTGTACACTGAAAAAGACAATGGTTAGATAATGAACACAATGAGGCATTAGATGTGGTAAACCATGCAAATGAAAAAAATTCCTTCACAGTTAATGAATTGGTCAAATTTGTGACCATTCTCTTATTAGGCTTAAAGTGTTTTTATCTCATTTAAGGCCATTGGGTGTAGGACAGTTCACCCCAGCTGCCTTTGTGGCTCCTGTATGTTGCCAAAGTTCACACAAGCCCCCTGGAGCTCCATTTTTCAGGGTTTACATCCCTTTACACAACAGCAAAGTTGAATAAAATTTGATGGGTTTTAGTCTTCATCATTTGTCTGTATGATGTCAAGACAGTTTCATTCACAAGTTCACTACTACATAACAAAAGTGAATTATTTAAGTATTAGGTTTATTAATAATCTCATTAATTTCTGATGCATTGTTTTCACATATACTGTCTAAGCATAACCACTCCCCACTGTACATAATGAAAGAAAAATTCAGTTGGATTCTTTGATTAATGTCTGTTAAAAATATACAATCCAGTTGTACTTTAATATATCACTTGATAGCTTTGTACAAATTAATCCAAATAAATTTATTACATTAAAAACCACCCATAAAGATAATGAAAAAAGTCATGTGCCATACTGAGCTTATCAAAGCTAGAAGTACAAAAGTCTTGTCTTTACTGCAACATCCACCTTAATTGTCAAAATATATCGATCTTCGTAGTGTAAAGGTGTTATATTCCTGAAAAAGGGCTTGAAGATGGATGAGTTTATTATTAACGTTGTTTAAAAAAAATTGACCTGACTTTCTTAGTATAGAACTCTTTCCAGTCCACAGCCAATACTTTCTCAATGAGTTCATGCAGATGTAGCAAACACTTTGTTACATGCTAATATTTGGTTATTTGCAAGCTTTGGAATGCATGGAGAGGATGAGATGAGAATGGCATCAGTCTGTCTGTCCCACCTGATCCAGTTCTCTATCAGTGAATGGATTAAGTCCTTTGTAGCCACCATAGTTTTTCTGAGTACCGTTCGCAGCAGCTGGGTTTGTATCCATAGGACAAATGTAGTCTGTTGATTCATCAAATTTCTTTTTTCTTAAGTTTCCAAAATGTGAAAATCCAAGTTTCTTTGGCTAAAATAAGACAACAATAAGTTTTAAATATGAAAAATGAGGTTGTCCTTTAAACATTCCAAATCCTCTCCTTTTTGATTTGCTGCTATACCCTAGTCCTTAAAGTACGTAGATTCTCAACTAAATAAATGTAATTGTTTTCCAATTGGGAGTTACAGTGGATTTTAAATACAATTAAGAAAAAAATAAAGAATCACATGTTTATTTCAGAAACTGATTTAAACAGATACAAATTAAATGCTTTGGCATTGAAATTAAGGAAAATGTCACAGTCCTAGAACTGACCTCTCCCTGCAGACTTTGTCCCTTATTTTCTTTGTAAGACATGGGAGAGGAAGTCTGAAATTCTGAAATATCTCCTTTTTGAAAGCAGTACATACCCGAACTTTGGCAGTGGTGGTCAGAGGCGTGTATGCTGTTGACTCCGTTATTTCTCTTTTTTCTTGTTGTGCCTCTGGTCCAATTAGTATGTTAAAATTGGTTGTTAGGTGGCGTCGCAGTAGGGTCTTCTGAGGTGGAATATTCAGCAGCATTGCCAGTGTGTCACCGTTGAAGCGAGGCTCAAGAATCTATTAAAAAATAGCAGAGTACTTATTTTTTTAATACGGTTAAATATTTGCACTAGTAAACCATTAATGTGCTTATCAGAGGGATTTCTCAGTCTTACTAAGCTGTCTATCTACATTAGACCTCTTACAACTAACTCGTGATATAATACTTGCTAGGGTTTGAATGGGAAATACATGAAAGGTACTAAGAAATGCAGAGCATGATTAGACAAAAACTTACATTTATCATCAAACCTTACATTTGTTTGGATTTAACAGATTTGTTTTCAGAATTTTCTGCTCTACTCTGAGGGTATAAACTTAATCTTAGCACAATTTTTTCTATTTCATTTTGGCAAAAATTCTATGGCACTAGAATCACGGTATTTCAGAACTTGGACTTTGTTAAGCTGCACGTAGTTCTGAATGTTTTGAATTAAAAAAAAGTCATTCCTCATTGCTGGCAAGACTTATGCAAGTTCAGGATGATTATTTACTGTGGCTCAGAATTCTGTTAAAACCACTCAAAGAAACACTCAATGATGCCTTGTCAATAAGTAACTTTCCCACAGTATTAGTTTATTTTTGGGGGGTTGGTTTGTTTGGGTTTTATGCACTGCTGTTAAACTCTCCTTGTGCAGCTCAGCTTTGATTATAAACAATGTTTTAGCAGTCCCTTTTTTATTTTCGGTTGCCTTTGTAAAATTCAGATGCTTGGATCAGATACAGAGGCCCTCTGATCATGCTGTCATAATGGAAATGCATTTGTTTCCTCCTGCTTCACAAACACTAGATAAAAGATGTTTTATATTACAGCCCGACAATTTTTAGTAGATATATAGTAAAATGTTAAAACAAATCCTTACAATCAGGCCGCCATGCACTCCGCTTCCTCGAAGGTTTGGTGCATATTCTGCCAGATCAACTGACCTGAGCCATTCCATCACTCTGTGATTGGACCACTGAACTACTTCAGAAGGCGAAACGCTATTCTGTTGAAGTAACCAGAAAAGATGATGATAATACAGCCTCCATCATCACTGCATGTTCACAATATGTATCCTTAGTTCAGATAAAAACATCATTCCTCCTCTTCTTCAAAGAGCAGTACTTTTTTCCCCAATTCTAAGGTATTGTTTCTGTTCAAGGCCTCTTTCAAACATGCTCTGGCAAGATGGCAGGCATAGTCTTGTACAGATGAAACCCCATATATGGCATCAAGTAGTATAACAATAGAGACTACAGATGGTGGGTGTGAAAAAGAGCATTTTGAGAACAATGTTATTGTCAGTCTTTAATACTACAAGAATAAGCTATGCTGACTAGGTAAGGCAAAAAACCTTGCTGTCTTGAGAGTTAAAAATTAGGACAGGCAAGAAAAAACAATCCAATTATTCTCTTGGAAGTTGAATTAACTTCTTTAAGCAAATAATTTTTAAAGGGAAGTGCGTGAGATTCAACTAGTAAGTGGTTCAAGCCCTTGAGGGGTGAGTAGATTTTTATTATCAATGAATACATGTTCATCTCAGGGCTGGAAAGCAGCATAAGTACTGCTTTAGCTGCAATTCCCTAGTAGCAGTGATTGAGGTATCATTGTACACTGTTAACTTTCTATCCCCTTTGGCTGGAATCAGGTAATTAGTGCTTGTTTAAATTAGTTTACTTTAAAACTATTTTGTTACCTCCTCAACTGGTCTCCTGCGTAGACAGTGGGGGTTAAAACTGTTGACATGCAGCACATGAATGGCACATTTAATACTCAGATGATGCAGCTGACTGGTGACTTTCAGAAAGAGAAGGTCATTCTGGAAAGGAGAGCGCCTTGTAAGTCCCACAGAATATGTATCAAAACAGGTACTTTCCCCAGGAAGATTTCAAGCTTGCTATGTAGTTTTATATAAATCACAGTAACTATGGTTTAAGTAAAATAGAAGTTTATATTTAAAAGAGAGTTTTTAGGGTGGGGGGTTTTGTTGTGTGTTTTTTTGTGTTTTGTTTGTTTTTAAACATTGCACCATAGCAAGACCTGGCTAAAAACTGAAGGAGAGCTTGCAGCCTTTTAAGTAAAATCCCGGCTCATGGACAGTTTTAAAATATTTGGACTGTTTCTGATCTGGCTAAGACCCTGTCGTGGGTAGGATCACTGCAGCTAGCAATATGTACCTAATAACCATGGAACAGTAGGGACCATGCTCCCTTAACAAAGGGTCCTTAAGCAGCATAACAAGACTGCACTTTTGATAACAGCTAAAGCATGAAAAAAATGCCTAGCACACTTCAAACCAAATAATTATCCAAACCAGGGCAGGGAGACTGTAATAGAACACAGTGTAGAGCATAGTTTGCTGGTAATGTGATCAGAGCTGTACAAATTACTGGATTTGCTGCTTATCTTTAGTTTACCAAGTATTGTTGCTGACTTGGTGTGGAGAACAACACACTCCAGAAGCTGCATGTAAAATAGGTCATTTTACCTTTAATCATGGTGTGCTATATGATATTGAAAGAAAGACTTTGCAGAAGTTAGCTATAACATATCCTATGACTTACTATATGTACCTTAGGAATAGTAATCATGTGCTACGCACCATAAATGAGTTACTACTAGCACTATTTCTGTCTTGCAAAAATTTTTTAACTGCTGACATTTAGAGGAAAATTATAAAAGTCTTTGCTCATTCTGAAGTTAAATTTGGTTAAAAGGAGGAAAAACGATTTTAGCTTACCACAGTTAAGTACTGCAACATTCTCCCATCAACTCTGGACTCATGAAACTGGTCTTTGTACTGAGGTAAACCAATATCATCAAGCCAGCCTGCAGACACAAGAACAGTAGGGTACCCAAATCCACATCAGTGAGAATGAAGCCCTTCTCCCCTTCTTGTCTGGGCTGCTGCCTTCCAAGGCACTCAGGTAGCTCTTTCTACCCAGTCACCTTTCAAAAGGACAGCCTCTTCCCAGAAGCCTAAAAGCAATTCCCACCAAACAGCTTTGTCCACAATACCCCTGTGATATTTTACATACAGTGCGTAACAGCGTGTGTACCTTCTGTGGTATAATGTAGCTCTTACTAGATTGAGCCCCTCATTTACTTCCCTGCAATCTGAACGGCAGAGTTCCCCTTGGAAGATCATACTGTAGAGCTGTATATTTGGATGTCGAGAACAACACAAAAATCCTCACTCTATGGAAAATTTTAGTTTGGTAAACTACTTAAACAAACATCTATCAGGCAACCCATCCATAGGGCTGGGGGGAATTCCTTTCCAAACAATTAATGATAATTCAAACACTTACGTGTCACCCAGATGTGATCCAGTTGTGCAGACTTTTCATCTTGTTTTGCATTTATTGATTTAATGGCCAAAACTAATTTCTTCCTGTGTAATGGATGCTTTATTCCCATTTCCTGCAACAATAACCATTAACAAATAGTTTGCCCTGCCTCTGGCTTGTCTCATCTCATTAGGTATCTACAAAAATGAATACTACATAGTTCAGAAAGGTAGAACTGCCAGTTGTTTGAAGGGGCCTGGTTGTACAGAATCTACATGTATCATTGCTTGAGAGAAACAGATTATTACCTTTTCCATGTCCTGAGGTGTCGCAGTTAACAGCGTATGGCCTGAAGTCACCCACTGCCGTGCAAAAATGACGTACTGACCAAGACCAAAGTCCTCAAGCCAGTTACAAACTCTTTCCGTGCTCCACTGAGCAAATGGAGCATTGTAATCACTGAAAAGTACAAGAAATGTTTGAAAAACGTTAAAGGAAAGATTATCAGGTTATTATCAGAAAGCTCATCGTGTCCCAGAGGCAGCACTGCAGCATATATGTTAGCGTGCTTTGTGCTGTGCAATAGTAAAAGCCAACAGTGTCCTGTGCCTCAGCTTGTGAGCAGCTGGGGAGAGTCAGGGGGGTGAATAAGAATCTCCCATTTTCTATCTGAAAAGAGGAAAAAGAGACTTGCTGAATCCTCATCACTTTGCAGATATTCCCACAGGAGGTAAGTTTTCTTCTTTAACAAGGTGAAGTTTTTCCTAAGAGGAGGGAAAAACTGTGCTGTTCAGCACACCTAACAATACCACATGATATGCTGTGCAAGGTGAAGAAAGAACCATTTACCTTTTCTGGCCTTTCGTTTCCTTTGATCTGGATAACCGAGGCCCAGCTGTTGCACGGAGACCACCTCTTCGAAACTCTGCCAAACCCAGGTCATCTGCAGGGAAGTTACCTGACTGCGTTCTTCTTATTCTTTCAAGACAAGAGTGTCAAGATTAGCTTGTGACAGAGAACACTTGTTTCGTATAACTAGAAGCTGTATTACTCTTCCTGTAAACCATAAACATCTAATTCAAGTGGTAGCTGAAGAAGTTTTAGGCAAACAGTCTAGACCTAACTCTAAGGAAATGAAAGAGCTCTGCAGAGCAGCCATAAGCCTTCACCCCAATGAATAATCCACGCTGGAAGCCAGACTCCTAAACGTCTGCTCTCCTGAAGCAGATAAAGTGAACGCACTAAACTGCAGTCCCCCCCCCGCCCTTTGTTTCTTCATTTTTCTCTTATATTTTACCTGATGGCTTCTGTAACGAACAACTTACTATCATTTATTTTTTCATAGCTAATCAAACTGTTGGCATTCTAAATTATTAGCATTGTAAGACAACAGCAGAGTGTCTTATTTCTTCTGACAGCACGACACTAGGAAGACTACCATCCATTTTTTCTACACCCATGTGTACACAGAGACACACCCGGACAATCACAGAGCTGCTTTCTCTCCTTTTCCTGAATTTTACTTTCTTCTTGCTACAGATATTGTAACTTTTGCTGAGAACTGGATTCATTCTCAGCCGAAATGCTTTGACAGGGAACTAAATAATAAATAAATAATCTTACTTTCCCCAGATTTTCTTGATCCCTTTTGGACTCTTTCTGTTTTCTGGAGACAATGGAGACTGTGGACCTGAATCCGTTCCCGAAGAAAGATGTGAAAGGTCATCCGAGACTACTGTACCATCCACATTCTCTGTTTCTCCTGGATTAAGAACAGTAATACAGTCACATTTTATACTAATTATTAACAAAGTTGTATTTTGAGAGACTAATGTTTAAATACAGAACATATTAAAAAAGTAAACATATCTATAAAATTGCTCTTGTATAAAAAAATAATGTTCAGAAGGTAAAAAATAGTAGCTGTACATTTGGTACAAAAAAGAAAATAATAACACATTGGGTAAAATAATATTATTTCAGTCATTTGTATTTAAATACATTATTTTAATGAATTCAAGGTCTTCAGACTGAAGCAGACTCTTGCCTTGCCTATTCTTAATACCAAAACTCCTTGATCAAAATCTGTGGGAATTTTTCTGTTTTGACTTCAGTGAAAATGGAATGAAACAAGGATTAAGTATCTTAAAAGAAATCCCATCCAAATGCCATACAGCAAAAGCTGTTCCTTCAGTTCTGCGCTTCAGGAATTCAATCTGGATGGCCCACTTGGTATTAGTAATTCATAGAGAAGAGACAAAGAGGGGAAAAGGAAAGGGAAAAAAGTAAGCAGCAAAACTCATGTTAAAGGTGCATCTTGTTTGGATACAGTACCTAGCACTGGTGCACTGACACTCCTGATGCGATCTTCAGTCATCCCAAGAAGTTGAAAGCCAGATGAAGAAGCAAAGAAGATAGATACAAAACACCAGCAAAATAAAGTTATGGAAGAGCAAAGTAGTAAGCTGAGCATTAAAAGCAGAAACAAAAAGAAAAGAAGCAGTTATGCTTGACATGAAAGTGAATATGCATTGGTGTGCACACGCCCCAAGAATTCTGTACAGGTCATTTTAAAAAAAAATAGGTATGATCATTTATCTGTTGGGGTTTTTTTTGTTTTGAACTATTCTTAAACAATTTTAACACATTAAGCATAGACTACAGAGCTCCATAAAGCCTGTGGAATATTTGAAATGAAGGAATGTCTACAATTACATCAAATTCCTCCAAAACATAGAATTGGAGGTATAATGAGTTTACTGCACATGCAAGAAACAACCAACCTGCATAAAAAATTCTGTTAATTCAGTATATTTAAGGAGTCATTGCTTGTTTCTAGAAAAAGGACATTTTCCTGTACAAGATCACCCATCCTTGGATAATCCTGCAGTTAAAGACATAACAGCATGGCTCATGCATCGCCTACATTGTTGCAATCACAGAAAAAAACTTTTTAAAAAAAAACCCTAAATAACCCACAACTTAGCGAACCAGCTTTTAGGACCATGAGGCCTTAATACAAACCCACCAAACAAACAAACAAACAAACCCCAACCAACCAAAAAAAACCCCAAAACCAACAACCCACTACAACTTTTAAAGGGTAGGAACACTTCAATATCACCAGGGATGCTCGTGTGCCAGAGCTCTCAAGTTCTTCAGTCCTTGGCAAATAGCTGGTTCTCTGCCTCACTGTAATACTTTTTGTCAATAAATCCATGCTTAGATGTCAGTGAAAGAAATCAAGTTTCCAGACATAGCTATAATTGTGGAATAACAGTATACTTGTATTTTCAAAATCCACTGATGTTTTCCTGCACCTAGCAAGTTAATTTTTCATCTGTGGCTCCCCACAAGCTACATCAACCAACAGTGCTGGTACTAGGACATGTGCCCCAAACGTGCATGTTAGTGCTAGTTATATTGCAAACTTTCACACACTACAATGCAGTGGGATGGCAAAGGATGGGTTGGCTTGTTTTAATACACCAATCCAGTGTACATTTTTTAAAAGCATTGATGACATACTTGGCTGTGCATTTTTGTTTGGCTTTTTTTTTTTTTTAAGAAAATAGACCTGCAAGCTCAGGGGAGCATTGGAAGCGTGTCTGAAAAAATACTGCTTATTCATATTGTCAATATGTCTGCATCTCTAAAGTTACCAATTTTTAGTTACAGATTTCTTGGCTTTCAGAATGCTCTCCCCACAATCTTCAAAACAATGTCTCTTCATTACTTATGCTATCCATGATGTCAGCATATTATATCATAGAGCATTCTTTTCTGCAGCACTCAAACTTAAAACCATCCTTTACTCTCCAGTGAGTTAATGTGGAACATTTTTGGTACGTTGTTAAAAATAAAAATTAGAACTTTCCCTAACTGAATCACTTAAACGTCACAGTCCATTGTTCTGGCATAGCAGATTACATACCGCGTTCTGTCCCAATCCCTCAAACACTTTGCTTTCTTCCCTTCCACATAACCCGCTCAGGGAGGGGTGGATACATACTTAAGCCCAGGATGCTGCTGTCCTCGTTGTTGTTCATGGCACACCCATCTGGCGAATTATATGTTCCCTGCTCTCCGTTCTGTAAGGGTCGAGGCAGCTTTCCTGGCAAGGTTTGGTACTTGCTGCCTTTCACAAGCGGCTTACTCTGTTTTGGGGGTTTTTTTTTAAAGAAAGAAAAATAACTAAATAAAAGAATCAAATCACTCATATCATTTGCAATCCAGTACACAATATTTTAAAAATTGAGAAAAAGTATTTGAAGTTCATGGTTCAAAAGGACACCACCCCCTCCATGTTCCTTCTTACAGATAATTCAATTTAAATCCAACGGTCAGCTGACAAAGCTTTCTAGCTAACGCACAGCCTTCTCTTCCCTTATCTGTCCCTCCCACTTCAGCCAGACTGTATATTACGTTAAAATATTATATACGTTGAATATTACCTGGTTTTGTCATAAGACTTTTTCTAGCTGTCTCCCTTTCCTTTAGGACCCTGGCACTACAATGATTTGGTCCTTCCAAGGTCAACTTTGATAGTGCTAGAAACGCATTTAGTTACTTCTCAGCCCATTCTCTGCTCTGTCAATTTTTTCCCCTATTTTTCATCAGACTGTGTAATTTTCTGCCTCACAATTGTATCTCGCTGGAATTTAAGCCAAAAGTATTTGAGTAACTCAAATTTTGTCAAACGTACTTGCCCACCACCATTAATAACAGCAAAAGCATCAACAATGAAGTTAGGGTACAGAAATTTAACTTTTGTAAGAATTAAGATGTCTTTGTATAGATAACATTACAAATGCGATGTTTTAAAAGAAACGTAGCTAAATATATAGTTGCCAAATACATAGCTAAATATATAATTGCCAATTCTATTATAGAACTTAAGCACAAGGTACACTTTTGATATATGCTGGGACAAAAAAGCGTAGACTGAGCTGTATTTTAGGGCTAGTCTGAATAGCTGCTGACTCTACAATTGTTGTCCAGGTCAGGCTAAGAGTGTAACGTATGCTTGCCCGCAGCTATGGTACACATGCACAGTAATACCAGCATCAGTGAGATTACGTATGGTGAAAGGACCTTCCTCCAGCAACAGAGGTCACAGGAGGAGGTCCTCAAAGTCTCAGTCTATTGTATTGAAAAGGAACAGGTATGTAGGCTTTGCTAAAAATAGAATCTCAATTTTCCTTGCATTCAGTTTTTCAGTGATCCTGCTCCTTGTATATAAATCTGATAGTTTTGAGCCTAACAAGATGCTTTTCCAGCCAAAGTACATGTTTCACAGAGGTGTTTCTCTACAGTTTTGGAAACAGCACGTTGAGACTTCTTCAATACTGAATCCAAATAAAAAGATGAAGGAGCCATCACTGAACAAAAACATATATCCCACAACTGTCAGAACTGTAGGAATACAGAGGCTCTTCCAGAGAAGCAATGGACCTGCAACTCCAAGTGACATTAGTGGGAGTAGTGTACATTCAATGTGTGTTTTGGAGTAAGCTCATGTGGTAAATGGTTCAGTATCAGAAAGGAGATTAGGTAAGGAAACTTTGTACCAAAAATATGCAAAACATTTAGTAAACAGAAACATATAGTATGCTCCTATTTACTAACCCCATTCTGACAAAAGTGTTTTACAATGTTGAAAACATTGTCCGTGACAGGATGATACATGAAGTATTTGATGAGATAACCACTGGTTTATCTGTTCTTATTTCAAGGCCTAGAGGGATCTTTGTGCCAATCTCTCAGTTCCTCAACTCCTGCTCCTGTTTCAGCAACTGCAGGAATACATCCTGACTTGTACCAAAAATTACATGAGGAGAAAATTGCTTATTACATTAATACTGTATTTTCTGAAATTGGCTGACTTCAGCTTCTAACCTCACATAAAAGCTTTTAGAGAAAAAAAAATTTCCTTCTCAAATCCTTACCCCTGTTCTCAGAGTTCGCCAGTACTTGAACTATGCAAACCTTTTAAAAAGAAAATGACTATAAAATGAAAACACAGCCATACCATCACAGCACATCACAACAGATAAATGTTAAGAGAGTTTACAGTTAATATACCTCTTGTTCTACAACAGGCTGTACTGGTTTTCCATCTACATACTACGGAGTTGCAGGGAGGATAATTTCAAAGTTTTATGGAAAAAAGCAACAGACAAATGTTAGTATTAACATACATACACAGAACATCAATTATAGTCTTATTACTGTAGTGATGCTACTCAATGCATTGACAATATATTACACGGTGTGTTATCTCTTCATTTCATTTCAATAAAATATGTAATACTAAGTGTGTTTGTTCAAACCACTCTACAAAATTTGCACCCTGGTTAAGTTCTGTTATGATCAAAGGGATTTTTCTATCTTCAGGCTTCTGGGTGGTCCCTTTAGACTCACTTTAAGCTGGGAACATAACAGTTGTTTAACAGTTAAAACAATATGAAAATGACAGACATAAAAAAAGAACATGCACAATACTGTACGTGCCCAGCTGAAACCATAAAGAACTGTGATAGAAATGAAGTGATAAAAATAACAGCACGGCTTAGTCAGAGACACTGGTGTGTTTTATTTTACTATTGCTGGACAGGATTGAAATTGGAGTTTTGTGCAAAGTACAATAGCTCCAGTAAACAGTGCCGCCTCCACAGGTTCTCTTGGATGTCATGCAAGATGCAAAGTCTTGTCATGCTGAGTCAGCAAAACAACTTTTCTTGGCCTTAGTTTTGGATGCAATTAATTCACATTCAGCCACTCATGTGCAAGGGAGGTCTCATTTCACTAAGAAGCCTTGTGCCTAAATTAGGGCAGACCATTTAAA